GTTTACTTTAACCTATGAACTACGTTTTGAACGGTTTAATATGCTATTTTAAGATGTTTTGATATGATTTTGTTAGATCTATTGAATAAAAACTATTTTCTAAGCTGTAACTGCTGTTAATTGATTTAAAATGCTGAGATTTTGGCTGATCTATCTTAAACTTGCCTTAGCTGAGCTGTTAAAGTAATTTTGGCGGTGTGCATCATGCTGAGATATATGTTTTGCATCATTATAGAGCCGAGTTACATGTTTAGGTGGGTAGACGTGTAACGGTAAGTTCATGCTAAGCTGTTGTGCTGTGCTGTCTGGATCCAGATACCGGAATGGGTCGCTCCCGGACCGGCTCGGTTCCTTCTGGATTACTTAGGCTGTGAAACCAGTTGGAAACCGTTTTCATGCTGTGCATTAGATGGGCTGGAAATGCATGGGATTATTGCTGTGAGAAGTATTTTGCTCTATATATATGATTTTTTTTTAAGTTTGGTAAGCTCACCCTTGCATTTCTTTTTATGTCGTTGTGTGCGTGTGTACTGCGATGATCGTACGGTGGTACGTGAGCAGATGTAGCAGGTGTTGCATCTACTTCACAGGCTGCGGGGCCAGTGGAGAAATGATAGAAGCTGAAGTCGAGTAATATTGCATCTAAGTCCTTTTTCCTTATATTTTAAGACCTCATGTAGAGGGAGCTACGTAGTATAATTTTGGGTATTTTTGAATATTATGAACAAAATGTAATATTATGTTGTTCTGTTGGATATTTGTTGTAAGAAACTCTGTTTTATTTTGAATGAGAAGAGAATTTCATAATTATATTTTCTATACTTTATTTCAAATAAGTTTGTGATGTAGAAACAATGTTCTCGGTTCCTTATAAAAAGGGGTCGTGACAATGTAATGCTTAAAAATTATTGGTATTATATTTTTTGCCCCCATTACAAGAAGAAAGTTTCTTTCACAACTACAAATTTTAAATGTGAATCATGTTATAAAGTTGTTGAGTATCTAATGACAAGGTAATTAATTAATCACTATGTATTCTAATTTTAAATTTTCATATTAAAATAAATTGAATTATATTTTATGACCTTAATTTATATACATTACATGTTTCGTCTTAAGCTTGATGTTAAAGATTTCACGGATTCAACTATATTTGTCTTATTTGATGAAGTTGTTAAACAATTAGCGCAAGTAAAGTTAAAAGATCATATTGCAACATTTGAAATTGTAAGTAAATGTGTTAATTTCTAACTTCCTCAAAAATCTAATCAAATAATTGATTATATAAATAAAATATAGTAAAACATAACTATTTTTATGTGATAATTTTTTTTAAAGGTAATAGTGAAGTGTTAAAGTTGTCTCCACAACTTTTAAAGATTATTGACATTTCACATATTGTTAAAAAAAAATGAGTACTTACTTTAAAAGTTGTGGAAGATAAAGTTTCACTATAAATAAAATTATGAAGCCAATAGTGAAGGTAATATAGAATATTAAATTGGAGTTTTATTACTTTCATTTATAATATTTATAATACAATGATTAATAACTTTATTTTCATTGTTTGATATTTACATATTAAGAACAAAGAAGGTCTAGACAATACAAATGTAAAAACAAAAGAAAATGATTTGATAATAAGTTGTTCACCTATATCTCTAACTATGGAAACACCAAATTTACCAAAAAGAAAGAGAAAAGTAATGTATAAATTATAAATTTATAATGTATTGTTCAAATTTTTTAGATTAATAATTTATATTTAATATTTTTTTTAGGTTGTAACTTGAGGAAGACGAAGCAAAAAATGATGAACAAAAGATAACAATGTAGGATTTAGAAGATTGAACTATTTTTATTGCAATATTGTATAAATACTTTTAATATTTTGTAGAATCTGAAAAGTAAAATGTCACAAAACATTTAGGTCTTCTATAAATAATTTTGTTATTTTATTATATATATTTTTCTTACTTTATTATTATATATATTATGTATTGACTTTGTTCTTAGACAAATCTTATATGTGATTCATAAATTTTATATTATATCAACATCTGTAAATTTAATTAATATAAAAATTAATTTTTATATTAAATGCAACCATTCTTCTCTTTTAGTTTCTACTTAAATCTTAATTAAAAATTTTTAACTACTTTTTTTTTTCTCTTCTTCTATTATTTTAATTTTTTTAGAAAATAATTTAGTAAGAATTGATATATCATAATTATGTATAACCTATTCACATAGACAATATTTTATTTATATTTTATATTATAATAATTATGATGATAAATTTTATTTTTTAAAATAAAAAAATTAACAATATTTATACTTAATGATTTTGTTGCAATATTTTTTTTTATAAAATGCTATAATGATGATGATAAATTCAAAATTCTCCAATTAAAAAAAATAATTATAATAATTAAAATAAATTAAAAATTATTAAAGATCATAATAATGAAAATGAATATGATTTAACCGTTCTATTTTCATAATTAATAATTTTATATCGTAATGAATGAATAAGTAAAAAAAATATAACCTTTTAACTTTAAATTAAGTTCAAATGTTATATTTAATTTCTATATATATCATTTGTTTTAAAATTTTATTAGTATGAAGTTTAAATCTTTACAACTATTAAAAGACTTTAATTTCAAGAAAGATAGAAGTTAGTATTTAAAATGTTATAAAAATATTTTTTATATTAACATATCAAATTATATTTATTTATTAAAATTTTATATTCTAACTATATGATTAATTTTTCAAACTTGAATATAAATTCTAATATTTTTGAAATTTTTTTTGATAACATTCATTTAGAAATGCAAAGAAGAGTGTATCTTAATGAAAAAATTTAGTCATTTTGTGAACTTACAATTAGTTTTCAAATATAAATCAAAATATAGATATTATACATAAAAATATAAAATTAGTACAAATATTTTTTATTAATATAATTATTTATTATGTTATATTAAAATTATACATATTTTTATTTTAAAAAAATTAAATCAAGTTTACTAAATATTGACCTTTTTTTGTAAAATTAGATAGTATGTCAGATAGATGGACAAAAAATATGTTTAAAAATAAAAATTAAATCTCTAATTCACTATATCTGTGTCAAAATAGTTAAAAAACATCTATTTTTTTTAGTGACGATATAGTATTTTAATATATTTATATTAAAGTTATATTTATATATCTTTAAAATAATTAAAAACTTAATAATAATATATATATATTTTTACTTATTTTTAGTTCAATCTATATGTTTTTTTTATATAGTATTTTAAATTTATTTTTTAAATTAATATTTATTCTTTTAATAAATTTTTATAATATTATTTTATCATTAAATTAGTTTATAAATATATTTATTTTTATTAATTCTTAATTAAAACAATAAATAATAAAAAATTGTATTAATTATTTTTTAAAATTAACAAAATATAAAAAATTAATATATTTATTATTTTAATTTTATAACCCAAATAATATAATTTTATTATACTTAATGAGTTATTAAATAAAAATTTATTTATAATGTCAATTAATATTAATTCTATTAAATTATCAAAAAAATATAAAATAATTTAGTCATTTAAAAAAGCTCAATTATATATATATATATATATATATATATATTTATCAAAAAGTAAACTTTTAAATTCAGTATATATATTACATTATTATTAAATTTTATTTACAATATTTTTGTGTGGTAATTTTATTTATATATAAAATTTTAATATATTTTTACTTTTTAATATTAACATATAGTTTTGTGTATATTGATAGTCAAAGCAAATTTTTAAAATTTCATATATTAGTTGAATAAATACTTTATTTTTTATACATTAGTTTGATAAGTTATTTTTAAAAAATATGATGTCATGTTTTAATAATTATATAGTAAAATTTTATTAATAATTTGAAATTATAATTTAAATAGATAATTTATCATATAATTTAATTCAACAAATATAAACAAATTCATAAATAAAAAATTATAAAGCTTTTTATTTAAATTTTATAACTTATATTAAAAAATTATTATATTTAATAATTTATTGCTATAATTATTTATTTAAAATTTTATAATAACGAATGATTTATGATATCATAAATAATATAAATTTATTTTTATATTTTAAAAATAAGATATTTGTATGCTATTTTATTTTATGTTAAGAAATACTAAATTATATATTTTAAAATAAATTAATTTAATAAAAAAGCAAACCGTGCAATGCACGAGCATATTTCTTAATTTAGTATTAATCCTAACTATCTATTATTATATTTATTATTTTTTAAATAAATTTTTTATTTCAACGGTTAAGGTTTTCTTCAACAATAATATCACTAGAGAAAAAAATTATAGTAAAAAGAAAAAAAATTACAAGATTTATAAATTATTTGAAATTAAAAATTTTAAAATTACATTTAGAAATATAAAAAACTCTTTAAACAAATAAAAAAGCTAGTTTAATAAATCTCGTAAACATAACATGTTAATACATGAAAAATATTTTATATGAAATAGAATAAAATACACTTTAAGAGAAATTTAATTTAATTTCTTTAAAAATAAAGTTTATTACTTTTAAGTAATTTAGTTCTAAAGATACTTCATAATAATTTTTAATATGAGAAAGTGAAAACTTAAAAGCATTGCTTTTCATTTTAACATATAGAGCAGATCTATTATCATATAAAAAAAAGAAATAAATCTTGATAGTCATTATCAGATTTATGATTATAATTATGTTACTTACTTATGATAAGTTTGCAAAGTCATAAGAAAGTGGCAAGTATGGGAGGCTGATCCACTTTTAAAGATAAACTCGTTGATTTAATTGGATGGATCCAATCTTGTAGGTGTAGCCCAAAGGCATAGTAAATGGGCCGAATCTTGTAGCCCGAGTTTAGCCATGGGAATTGGAATCAGTCTTGGATACCCGCTTCAGACAGAAGGGTGAAAAGTGAACGACCCGAGAGGGGGAGGGGGAAGTGCTTCCATTATCAATGGCTTCCTCCAACAATCCCAAATCAGAAAAGAAGAAAATAAAAAACCGAGAAATCTCCATAACCAAAAGCAAAAGTAAAACGAAGAAGGATAGAGACTTAGAGAAAGAGAAAGAGAACAAAAAGAAGAATAATAAGAAACTGAAACTCAGCAATGGCAAGTCGAAACGACAAGAAGAGGAAGAGCAAGTAGGAGGAGATGAAGAAGAGGCGAAAACGCACGTTTTTCCGATGAATCGTATCAGGACGATGATTAAGGGCGAAGATCTGCGTGCTTCGCAGGAAGCTCTACTGGCCATTAACAAAGCAACGGTGGCTTTCTATTCTTTGCGTTTTCAGTTTCTGTTACCAATTGCGCCTTTTCCTTCATCGTTTGCCTTTTCCTTGCAGGAGAAGTTTCTTGAACAATTCACACAGGACGCTTATGCTGGTTCTGTTCAGGATCGTAAGAAATCTCTGAATTACAAACATTTAGGTAATGTCCCTCATGTATTTGAGTGTTTTTAGTTTTTATTTTATCAATGTGCGAGCTCAATGAGGCTCGAAATTGGGTGCTGTAGTCACTTTTTTGCTGTAATGAAGAATATAACATTTTCTACCTGCTTAATTTTTCAACATTGACATTAATATCTACATTTTGGAAAACAAGAGATGTTTTGTGTTTCTCTTTGATATAAAAAGAAGGATTGTAAGTTTTAGGCTTATAATTGTAAGTTTACCTTTTTTTAATGTAATTTGAAGATGAACTGCTTGAGTAGAATTCCTAATCATTTCTGGGTTACACTTTGAGGTGAGTAAAGTGAGCCTTTGAAAGGGATTTAGTCTTAAGATAGGGAATATCGTACTCGTTTCGATTCACCGAGCAACTGTCCCAAATCAAATTTATATTAGTAAATATTGAGCTCTCTTCTTGCAAGTTGTAACAAATTTGGGAAAATTTAGATCAGTGTTACCAAATTCACTTAACCCCCTTCGTGAATGGAGAATTGGGACTTGTGTACCAGTTCGTGGTATGTTTTTGGTCTAGTACGCAACCAAGTTGGAGTTGGAGTGCAGATGGTGTGGTGGATGGAGATCTGCCGGGGAAAGATGCTTTCGGAAGAAGCATGGAAGGGGACTCGAAGAGAAGAATGCGAATTGGAAGAAGACAAGGAAAGAGGAGATGAGAAATGGTTGAAACAGACGTGTCTACATTATAAAGAGGCCAGGGGAGGGATTTAGAAGGAAAAATGTTAAATTAAAATATTTAATTGGTAAAATTAGTAAATTATATTATTACTAATTTAAATAATATACCAACTATGTATATCCCGCGTGCCATAAGTTTACCAAGTAACTATGATTCAGATAAACCTCTCTTCTTCAACCATTTATTCTGTCACTTCTGAACAGCTATCAACCCGTTCAATTATGAATATTATCAATCTTCTCTCCAAATTCTGCACATCTCCAACTTGTAACGCGATGAACTACATTTGGCCATGACAACAGATTTAGCATCATCACTTGGTTGTGGAAACCTGTATTTCAACTTATGTGTAATGAAAGTAAACTAATATTAAGGTAGGCTTGATTATTTACTTCATTAGTGCTGAAGAATAGCAAAGGGAAATGGTACATGTTTTTCTAATGTCTGCCATTACTCTTTTTTTGGATTGATTGTGTCTCTCAAAGCAATTGCGAAAATTGCCTTCTAGTTCCCTGTGCTATATTGAAGGAAACATCTATCCTGGAAGAAACGAAGAACAAGAGTCAAGAGGAAAGTCATTAATCTAACCCATTGGCAACATTTAATTCACGGCAAAGCTTTGGTTTTATTGACTTCTTACTTCAGTCTCTTCAATAAGAGCAAATGCAAGAAGGAAAGTGAGTTTGACAACTCAATATTGTGAAACCCTTTTTTATCTGGTTGGCATTAAAAATTTAAAATATTTACCACCTTAAGATTTAGTGCATGTATAGCTCAACTTATTTTTAAGAAATAATCTCTTATTTCTTTCAGTTTCCTGAAAGTATTTTTGAAAAATACACAATCATTTCCCTAAAATGAAGCTGATCTACACATGCTATTAATATGGAGCTATGGCTACTATCCTCACTGGAATTGATCCTTGTACTTGTTTGTGTGTGTGCTTGCATGCTCATTGAGACCATTAAATTAAATATTTTTCAACCACTGATTAGTTACCCGCTTTGCCTTTCAGCATGTGTTGTAAGTAAGCAAAGGAGATATGACTTTCTTTCTGGTAATATCTTATACCTGTTGGATGCTATCGTATTCTTAAGTTTACCTTTTGCTGTATTCACCTTACTCTACTTACAAGGTTTTCTAAATTGCTTTTGCTTGTTCAGATTTTGTTCCTGAGAAAGTCAGGGCTGAGGATGCATTAAGAGAGAGAAATTCAGGAGGGAATGGAGGAGGTTAGAAAATGTAAAGCAAGCTAGAGGAGAATTTTAAATTATACTCTATTTAATATTGTCACTTTTTGTAATGGAAACCTGTATCATGATGATTAGTGCTGTACTTTACATCTCCATATTGTATTTATTTTCGCACTTTTCTTTAATAGTCCTATTTCCATAACTGTAGATGATCTTTCATAGTTCTCACTCTTTTCCCCTCCTTAAAACTTGCAAACCATAGTTTTGGACTTTTTGTCACATTCTGCCTTCCTTGCTCCTCCTTATCCTCTCATGCAGACATATCATTAATTTTTTGGCTTCCACTAATTTAGAAAATGAGTTCAGTTGCTCTGAGGATGCTATACATTCCTTTATTCTGGCTAATATTTGGATGGCTATTTGGTCATTGAGGGTAACAGTGAATAACTACATTTGAGCATGGAATAAAATATATGGCTTTCTTTTTCTTCCTCAAATTGGCATCTTGGATGATTGTATGTTGCTTGAATCATGTCATAAATCAGCATCATCCACCCGGTGTACACTGCACTACGGCATTAGCAGGGATTAGTACATCGGTCTTTTGGAGGAGGTTTCTTAGGAAGTTATTGATGAGTGTTTGGACTAGTATGCCAATATATGACGCTTCAATTATGCAGAAACACTTACATTTTGGGTTAGTCTATTTCTACTTCAAAATGTTTATTGTCTTTCCTTCTCAGATATTTTTTATAGATAAAATACCTTTATCTGTCGATTAGATTAATCATAATAATAACAATATAATTTAAAAAAATTAATTGAGGAAAGACAATAAACATTTTGGAGTCAAAATAATACACTCTCACATCTTCCATATTTTATTAATTCTTATCGCTTTGTGCACAATGCATCGTAGGAGAAAATGCCATTGCAACCTGCTGCTTCTTTTTGGGGTATCAGTTTATGAGTTAAACGAGCAAATTCTTTTTATTTATAGTTCTCCAACCGCATTTCGTAATGCCAGCAAGCACGGAAGATGCGGATCTGAGCTATAATGTGTTAGTTGAATCAACCCAATTTTTATCTACTGTAATGGCTACAAGCTCTTCGCTGTTTCAGAATCCTCTACCATGTTTATTCTTTGTGTGGAACCCTCAATTTTCCAGCATTGATAAAAATGCACTTATTTTACTTTTCTCTTTTTTCCGTGTGTGTGAAAATATCATTTTCGTTTGATGGATTAAAATTTGAAAACAATGTCCAAAATATGGCTTCCTCTAGTCAAGGAGGTAAAAGAATCAATGTAAACCTACTCTTCAAGAGTTGAAAATTAGCACTCTAGTAAGCCATCATAATAATAATAATGTATTGTAAAGAACCACAAAACGCAAAACCGTGTGACCAGGCCCGTTTTATCTAATTTTCCCATGTTAATACTCTTTCATTTGTTACAGTATGGCTCAAAACAAGCCTAGCAATTCAGACAAAAAAAAGCCTAGCAATCAAAGCTACGTTGATATCCGACCAAAACCCGAGAAGAAGATAAACATGCTGTGATCTAGATTGCCCGAGTGTTATGTAAAGGCGATGTCAATCCCTGTCCTATTTCCAGACGCAGAATAACTCTTAACTTGAAGTGGACCTCACAACTTACAAACCCTGGTAACTTTAAAATAAATTCAAACTTTCAATTTCCTTGGTCTTATGGCCTTATGGGTGGATGGCTTTATTCACGTACGTGTCCCCATATTATATGATTCTTAATGTCATGTATCAGGTTAAAAACTTTGTGTAGTCAACTATGTTCAACATTATTAATGAAAAGGATAAAAAAACATCTTAACATGGTAACAAGCTCCTTTTTAGAAGGTAGACAATGAGAGAATTATCTATAGGCTTAAGCTAAGAGCATATGATCATATTTTAAACCGTGGTTTCTTCCTATCAAACATTAAAGAACCCGCTGGCATCCAGCACCGAGCAAGTATCACTAAAAATGCATCGCAGGTCAGAGGCTAACATCCAAACTCACGGTACTCCATAAACCCAATGTTTCATCAAATTGTCTTGCAAAAGTTAAGTTAATTAGGCACTTGTTCCTTGAGTTAGCCGCTAGCACTTGATTGTTTTGCTACTTCACAAGAATTACAAGTGAATGCTACGCTATCATATGCCCTTTTTTTTTCCCCACTTAGATCTCTCTCACTGTTTTTCCTGCCTTCCCAAGCAAAATCCAACTGGCTAACACACTAATGCATCTCATTGACACACCACCTTTCATTGATGTATAAGCAGATGTGCTAACAACTGAAGTTTCTAAAGAAACATTCCACCAAACTTAAAAGAAAACCCCTTTCATGTTTCCATATATTTCCCTCCCTCCAACACTCCCACATCAAGGACCACACTTCCACTTTGCACTCCTTTCTCATTACCCATCCCCACTAATCTAAGCCCACAACAAACAAAAGATGGTGATGATGAAGCATTCTCTCTTCTCTCTCCCACTTCTTCTATTAGTCTTTTGCCATTCCACCACCACATTAGCCCAGTCACCTGCGGCGGCACCAACCGCCCCCGCAGCTACCACCGCGGCAGTTCCCGCCCCGGCACCTTCAACACCCCCAACAGACATCATTAGAATCCTCAAAAAGGCTGGTGGATTTACCACTCTAATCCGTCTTCTTCAAACAACTCAAGTGTCCACCCAAATAAACTCCCAACTCCTAAATTCAAACGGTGGCTTAACCTTCTTTGCACCAAATGACAATGCCTTCTCCAGCCTCAAACCTGGATTCCTCAACTCCCTCAATGATCAACAAAAGAACGAGCTCATCCAATTCCACTTGCTTCCCACATACGTTTCTATGTCAAATTTTGATACTTTGAGCAACCCAGTGAGAACACAAGCTGGTGAAAACCCTGATAGGTTGGCACTGAACATAACAGGTTCAGGAAACCAAGTTAACATGACAACAGGTATTGTTAATGTCACAGTGGGCGGTACTGTGTACACTGATCACCAACTTGCGGTTTATCAAGTGGACAAGGTTCTTCTTCCTAGAGACTTCTTTGAAGCTAAGCCTCCTGCACCAGCTCCAGCGCCAGAAAAGCCTAAAGGGTCTAAGAAGAAATCTGCAGAGAGCAAAGCAACTCCTGCAGATGCTGAATCTGCTGCTATGAGTTTGAAACAACGGCATGTCATGTGGGTTTCAGTTGCAGTTGCTACAGTTGTTGTGGGAACATTTTCATGGTGACGATTATGAGAGGTTGGATGAAGAATGAAGCATTGAAAGGTGAATGATCAACATTTTGCAGACTACAGTGTTTTTAAAATAATTGGGTTTTCTCCTTTTCTTTCTTTTTTTATTACTTTTCCCCTCTAATGAATCATGTTTCACGTTGTGGTGAAAATTATACTCGATTTGTGAAGGCATTATTTGTTCTGCTAGTTCTCTTTCTCTTTCCTCCCTAAGAAAAATTCCATATCTTGTGTATTCCATATGAGAAATTTGTGTATAAGTTGCATTCAAACATCTTTTAATAGAAAAATGAAACAGCAAGTTTTGTTTACTTTTATTCTACTATTTCCAGTCAATAATTTTATAATATATCCTAATAATTCTCTTAATCACAAAAGGAAAAAAAAAACATTAAAAGGCAGGTTTGAAATTTTCAAGAAACTATAAATTCTTCTATTTTTATTTAATATTATGTATTCAAAACAATTTGGAAGATGTCAAAGAGGATTTTTGAAGTTCTTTTTACAACAACTTCTTGGGCAGATCTGGAGAAAAGGTGACTGAATTATCAATAAGATAATTACGCTTGATCATGAGTAAATTGAACCAAATGATAATGCAGTTCTGGCTGTGTGATTCCCCAAAAGATGCGAATAATTAAGTACAAGCAATGATTTGATATATAGTTACACATATATTTGGTTGGGTTACACTTTGAACTAAAATGATCTTCTATTCTAGTAAGTTGGGTTGTTGGAAAAAGTAATAATCATAGGATTTTTCAAAGAAAAAAATTTGTAATTATCTTAGCGTGAAAGTATATATATATAAAATTTCATACACTAATATAAGTTTAAATTTTTTTATATTTAATTAATTTAAACTCTAACAACGAATAATGTGACTTAAAATATTATAAATTAGCATTTCCAAGACTTTTAAGTTAGTTATTGATTTAAAAATTTAGTTGATCAAATAAATATGTTTAATAAACAAACTTAATTATATAGTGCCTTTTAACGCTTTGATATATAAGATTTAAGTTTATAAACTCTTTATTTTTTTTCTTTTTTATTGTCATTATTTAATCATAATTTCTACTTTATCCTTTTTAATGTCATAAACATTAGACATGCGCTCTTAATTTATTATTATCCTTTAAAGAATAAAATAAAAAATAATATGTATAGTTCTTTAAAGGATACTGACTTAAGAGATTTTATTATTCTTAAAAGGGTTATATACTTTAATTTAATAAATAAGATTTTTTTTAAATTATATATAAGAATAAATTATCTCAAAGTGATTGGCTATGATAAAAGTGAATTATAACTTCAAAAAATACTACTTACAATATTGGTTTTAATAGTAGAATCATTATTTTTAAGATAATTTATCTAACTACATCACTTGAATTGGCGCGGTTTAATGATGTCCATTTAATCATTTTCCTTTTTATTAAAGCATTTCTTGATTTTGAAAGTGAGAGTATGCTAAATAGTAAAAATACAATAATACAGTATGCATTCTGAAGGCAATCTCGCAAATTTGTGGCTTTAATAGGATTATTATTGCTGTTCCGATATTGTACGTGAACATATATAACCAAACACAAATATATTAAATAACAAGGTGAAGATTTTTTTTGAAATTTTTTTATTAATCGATATTTTATGCTAACATTAAAATAAAAAGTATTTAATATTTTTTAAAATGAAATATTTTATGGAACATTATAGATAATTTAGTCTGTCAAGCTTATTAGCTAGGGTTCAATTTTTAACAATGTAAGTGAAAAAAAATTGTTGAGGAAAATGAAATTTTGTTAAGTGATCTTTCGTCTGAAAAAGGGGGTGTAACGCATGGTTGTTGAAGGGGACAAAAAAAGCAGCAGCAAACTTAAAGCACGTGCTTAATTTGGCTGGTGGAAAGAAAAAAAAAGTGAGAGATAGAGCAAAGTAGCAAACCCCTAATAAAAGCAATGCTTAAATAATCATAAAACAGAAAGAAAGAGAGAAAACTTATCAAACCTGAAGAAGTTGGAACCAAACTCCAAAGCCTCAGGAACCCCAGCATCCCAAGCCAACTTCAGATTAATTAATGGTACTTGGAAGGATCCAAATCCTTAAGGTCCTCTTTATATTGGAATCAATTGGGAAAGTGATGAAATGATAAGTGTTTTATTCATCAAATAATAAAATATAAAAGTAGGGGGAAAGTATACTTCTTTTCTTTTCAGAAATTGTACAGAAAGTTGGCAAAGTCTTTAACCTTTATTACATCTAATCTAATGGTAACAACTTACCTATATAATGGTAATTGAAATTCGGTAACCTAAATAAAATCATTCTTTAATATTTTGGTAGTTTTTATGATCACTTTGTGGTAACCCTCAGGTTTTGTTTTAGCTTAATGCATCAGTGATGGGGATCTGGAGTAGAAGCATCACAATTTCATTAATGTGCATTTCGCACCCAATTGAGCTTCAACTTCAAACCCCCCATTTTCCTGCATTACCAAGCAAAATGAGGCCAAATCTCTTTCTCAATCACCTTTATCTTATCTACCTTGATGCACCACCTTATTAATATCCATCACAGACCTCACACAGAACAATAGTATATAGGAAAATTTCATAACCAAAGCTTTTATCCCTATAAAAAAACACTCCACTTCACATCTTCCACACAACAATTACTAACCTATCAGGTGCAATCCTTGAAAAGAGTCAAAGCAACCTTACTCTAGAGACTTTTATAGCAACTTGCAATTGCCTTCAGATAAATGAAGCAAGTTTTGTTCTCCCTCTTACTCCTGCTTTTTTCTTCATTACATTCAACCACATCATTAGCACAAGCACCTGATGCAGCCCCTAAAGCCCCAGCAAAACCAATTGTCCCAACACTACCCCAATCACCATCTTCTGATCCCTCTGATTCTTCCACTGATGACATCATCACAATTTTGAGAAAGGCCAAATCATTCAACATCTTAATTCGCCTATTGAAAACCACACAATTGATCAATCAAATCAATGCACAGATCATGACCACAAAATCTGGTGGCTTAACAATCTTTGCACCTGATGATGGTAGCTTTTCACAGCTAAAAGCAGGGTTCCTCAACTCTCTAGGTGACAACCAAAAGATAGAATTTTTACAGTTCCATGTTCTACCCATTTATGTTTCAAGCTCAAATTTCGATTCTTTGACCAACCCCGTGAGAACACTAGCCGGTGATAACCCAAGTAGGTTGCAACTAAACGTGACAGCTTTTGGCAACAATGTGAATATCTCAACAGGAGTGGTTAATGCTACTGTCACAGGAATTGTTTACTCTGACAAGGTGCTTGCAATATATCATGTTGACAAGGTGCTTCTTCCTTTGGACTTCTTCATACCTATGCCTCCAAGTCCCGCACCCTCTCTCGCAACAGCACCAAAAACTTCCGGTGACGATGATGATCGAGTTGGAACATCCAAGGACAGTTCTGGAGCATTCAGTTTGATAAGCATTCAAGGAACAACGTTGGTGTCCATTGGAGTTGCTTTGGTTGCGTTGCTGATTATGTCAAGTTGAAGGGTGTCCATAACAGACTTAACATTTGATGATTATTTTGACTTTATGTTTTTTTCCGGAGCTGCGTAGGAAGAGTGTTGTTTGTCTGAGGGACATGTGAATTGTGAAGCCTTGAGTTGTTTACGTGTTTTTCTTTTTCTTTTTTTTTGCTATTAGTTGTTTACGTGTTTTAATTTTGATCAGTTAAGATTGTTTTTGTGTGATTTTGATTTTTAAAATGGTTACATTGCATCTATTGAATAGATTAAAAAAAATAAAAAATCAATAGACTAATTCACTGGCTTATTTGATGGGAATTTGGACGAAGGATGCACATATTTTGACCCCGGATGAACTCAACAAACTTATTTTTAATATACTATTTTTTGTTGGTTTAATTTATTTTCTAAAAATATATTAACCATAAAATATGAATATAGATTTAATATTTCTCATGGCCAGAGCCTAGAATTGTTTCCTTTAATAATGAACACTTACACAGGGTAACTTGGTGATTGGGTGGCTTAATTAAATATGTTAATTACGAACCCGGAAAGTGGGAATTGCTATTTATTTATTTATTTTTGTTGAAGATAGTTTTCAAAGTTTAAACACACTTATAATAATAATAATTAATTAATACTAAAAGATAAAATTGTTCTTAATCTAAGTCGTTTAAGCCAAAATTGTAAAAAATTTTAAAACTTCATCTTCTTCCTCTCTAAATTGCAGAAAATTCAAGAAATATTTGTTTCTCACCAATAACTACTTAGTTACTAAAGACTCTTACATATTTTATCTCACAAAATATTTCAAATGTATTGTCTAGTGTGCTACTTGTGCTAAACATTAGTGAGATAGAACCATTTGAAATTAAGTTAAATTGTTGATAATTGTAATAAGAATTATAGGAATAACAACTTTTAGAAATTAGTTGAAAAATAATTACATTATTACATATTTTAAAACACTTAAGTTTTTGTATTATGATTATAAAGTGTGACCATATGAACTTGCACAAATATTTTTAAATGTATTGTCTAGTGTGCTATTTGTGCTAAACATTAGTGAGGTAGAACCATTTAAAATGAAGTTAAATTATTAAAATGATGATAAGAATGATAGGAATAATAACTTTGAAAAATTAGTTGAGAAATAGTTGTGATATTACATGTTTTGAAATACTTAAGTTTTTATTATATGATCGTAAAGTGTGACCATATGATCTTACATAAATATTTTTTACATAAATATTTCTCAACTTTTATGTAATTTAAAAAGAAAGAAAATAAATTTTTAAATTTTTTTACAATTTTGGCTGAAGTAAATTTTTTAACTTAAGCAAAAATTCACTTTTTAACTAAATTCGCTTAAACTAAATTTTTTAGCTTAAGATAAAATTACATTTTATTAAATTTTGCTTAAACAAAAATATGCCCTGCAGTTTTCCGCCAACACTACAGAGAATTCAATCCAAAGTTGTAGGTCTCTTTTTTTTTAGTGGGTTGAATTAAGGTACAGTTCAGCTTTCCATACCTTTATTGACATGACATCATTTAAGATACTTTATAGCTGTGATTCTCCTCTATCCTTCCTTGTTCATGGGCTAGCGATGCTCCTTTAGATGTTCAAGAACAATTACAATGCCGTGAATAGGTATTGGACTAACTAAAGCGCATCATTGCTCGTGCCCAATCCAAAATGAAGAAGTATACAGTTAGGAACTGCCATGATTTGCAAGTCTCAATAGGTGATCTTTTGTTTGCCGGTTATTTGTCAAATTGTTGTATAACCAAAAGCTGGACATGCGTTACTCTCAACCGTTTCAAGTTATTCAAAAGATTCACTCAGTTGCTTACAAGTTGGCTCTTCCTTGGAAGTCCAAAATTCACCCAGTTTTTTCATGTGTCCTTTTCGAAACTGTGTGTAGGAGAATCTCTAGTCCAATATATTCAATTACCATTGTTGTTTATCTTTGAAGGCCCATTGACACAGTCTCTTAGTATTTTGGATGTGAGTCAAATTGAACTTAATGATACATTGGAGACTCAAGTGCTAGTTCAATGGAATGACATTAATACTATTCTAACTAAGAGCTTTTGGGACCGTTTGCAGCAGCAATATCCTACTTCTGTTAGGAGGAGTAACAAAATTAGGAAGCCATCGATAAGAATTAGGGAATAAAGAGTGACATGGATGTAAGAAAATAGCATGGAAGATTTGAGAATTGTTTCCCTTCTCTTTTTTATTTGTACTTTTTTGCATTTCTATCCACTTTGCTTCTTTGTATTTTTCTTTATGAGACTTTAAAGTATCGAATGTTTTCTTATTTCTCTGAAAATGATATACTATATAAGTCATTTTTTCTCATTTTTATTTTTGTACTGTAATTTGATCATTACATAATGCTACAAAGTAAAATATTGCAAATCAAAACATGCTCACTTATTAAAGGTTAGACAAGATACCAAACTAAACTTTAAAATTTTTTTAAAAAAATTCACAACTCCAAAGCATTGGTTATCATCTCTTTTAAATCTATGTGCTAAGTCATTTTCTTTTTTATATTATTTTTTCTTTTTTTTATAGGACAAAATAAATTTTGTTGTGGTTGTGCGTCAAAATGCATTTAAGTATGATTTAGGCCCTTAGTCAACAAGATACGAGAAGAGGGGAACACGGAAAAAAAAGAGATAAAGATGTTAAGGCCAAAAAGGTTGTGGGAGAAAAAAAAGTAAAAAAAAAAAGTGACAAAAGAGGAATAAAAGAAGAGATGAAAAGAGTGAATAAGAGCAAATAAAGAAAAAGGAGTAGAAATAAAAAAAAGAAAATACTAGAAGAAAAGTGAGTAGAGACAAAAGGAGATAAAAACAGTAATAAAAAGAGACAGAGAGAAGGAGACACATAGAAGAAAAAGAGAAGTAGAAATAAAAAAATCAACAAAAAGACAACATAAATAAATGAAAAAAGAGGAGTAGAAATTAAAAAAAAAAAAAAAACCCACAAAGACAATAACTACTCTTTGCTGGAGTTTCTGAACGACAACTTCTATTTTTTTCTCACAAGATTTAATATGGATTGCTATTCACATAATTCGTTTTTACTAATTACATTGTAATTGTCAAAATTTAAATTTTAGAAATATATTGAATATTTTTTAAAACTAAAATTTAAAAGTAATCTGTAAATGACTTATAAAATTTAATTTTTAAAAATGTGTTTGATATCTATAAAAATTTAATTCTGGCACTGATTTTTAAATAACTTTCAAATTTTAAATTAATTTTTGAAAGCGACAATGACACTAAGATAAGTGGTACAAATAGGAAAAAATGATAAAAAAAATTCAGTGAAAAAAGAACAAGTCAAAAGGCCCAATGTTTGATTTGGCCCAGTAAGAATACCGGACCCAAAAGTTTAGGGTCTAATAGCCCAATAATAGATAAAATCAGGAAAATGAATCCAAGGGCCCAATAAGTAATGGGCAGGCTAGGATGCTCAGCACAACAGAAGGAGCTGAGGTTGGCTCTTGGAGAATTGCAACACAATTACACAAGTCCTAACTCCCAAAATTGCTGAATTGCATAAATTGATTTGTACAATTGCACCCTGGATCTGAATCAATGGCTCCTTCATTTCCTGATCCATATTATTAATTTACACCTTATTAGATATTAGATATACAAAACAATAGCAACAACTCCTTGCTAATATGTCAGTGTTCCTCTATCCATTGCCATTCCCTATCTCCAAAAAGCAGATATCTCACATGTCCATTTTCAGCAAAGATGTCAACAATAATTAGATAAAAAATCCCCATTCTCCACGACAGATAGGATACACCCTCACACTACACAACTACAAATTTCACAACCATAAAATTTCACCAACCTATCATTTCCTTCATTCACTGGCCACTATATATAACCCTCTCCACTCTTCACACATTCAACACAAATTGCAAGAATCGCTAATTCCAACCATTCACATTCTTCTAGAAGCAGAAAGCCATCTTAGCAATTTAAAAACAAGATGAAACAAGCTACCCTTTTCTCCCTTCTCTTCCTAGTCTTATTTTTCACCACCTTAACCTTAGCCTTTGCCATTTCACCAGCACCAGCAGCAGCACCAAAAGCCCCAACAAAACCTCACCCTACCCCAAAAGCCACAGCACCATCACCAAAACCATTAGTCCCAACATTACCTGAGTCCCCAGATTCCCCAGACTCAGTCCCTGATGACATCACAAGAATCCTCAAAAAGGCCAAATCATTCACAGTCCTAACGCGCCTCCTCAAAACCACCGAAATCATGAACAACATAAACTCACAACTCATAACAGCCAAGAGTGGAGGCATCACCATCCTTGCACCAGATGATTCAGCCTTTTCCCAACTCAAAGCAGGGTTCCTTAACTCTCTTAACGAAGGCCAAAAAATCGAACTTGTGCAGTTCCACATCTTACCCGAGTTTGTATCAAGCTCAAACTTCGATTCTCTTAGCAATCCAGTTCAAACCGTAGCTGGTAAAGATCCCGCAAGGCTTCCACTGAACGTGAATGCATTAGGAAACAGTGTGAACATTTCAACTGGGGTGGTTAATGCCACCATTTTAGGGGTAGTTTACTCGGATAATAAGCTTGCTATTTACCATGTGGATAAGGTGCTTCTTCCCCTTGATTTCTTTGTAACTAAGGCTCCAGCTTTGGCTCCAACCACTCTTGCTAAGGCTCCTAAAGCTGCTAAAGAGAACTCTTCTGAGGATGATCAAGATGAAACAAACCACGATCACCAGAAATCTGGTTCTGTGGGTTTTGTTAACGTTCGTGGAACAACGTTGGTGTCTCTTGGGATGTGTTTGGTGGCCTTTGCAACTATGTGGAGTTGAAGAAGAACATCCATTTCATAAATGCATTTTCAGTTTTCTATGTCAAACTCGCCGTTAATTTTTTTTTTAATTTAAATTTTGCTGTCTGTTTCTTGTGTTTTGGTGTTACGAGAAGGACGTGAATCCTCAATCCTTCAATGATTCTGTTGTTTTCCTGTGAAAAAAAAAAAAGTTTGAGTTGAGTTAATTAATTGATAATCAAATGATAGAAATGTTAATTTAATAAACAATTAAAATTAAAAATTAAAGACGAATTATTCCGCTGAGAGTGACGAATTTTAGCTTATTTCAAGTCAGGCAAAAGTTTATTTATTTATTTGTAGTTTTTCAAGTTTATATAAATTAAGCATGTATCAAACTTAATTGAATCAGATTAAAAAAGTTCAAATCTAATTTCAACACATAATTTAAAATTTATATTTTATTATGTGAATTCGGTCCGGTCCAATTGAGGCTGCTAATTTTAATTAAAATGGAATAGAACCAATAGGTGGGTTAATTAAATAAAAAAAATACATAGAAAAACAAGAAAAAAGAAACGGAAAAAAAAAGGGGAAATTGCGGGAAAAGAAGAGAGGTGTGACACGAATTTACAATACACCAACTTGAAGAGAGAGTAGAGGGAGATAATGGCTTATCGTTTGTGTAGTGCACACACGACTCATTCTTTTTTATAGAATAAAAACTAAAATAATGTTGAAGAAATCACACCAACAAGCATCAATTTTAATGGCTTGAAACAAAATTAAACTTTTACATTGTAAGTAAACTTTTGATACCATATATCGTTTAAACATGTTCTTTCTATATAATAATTTCCTCTGAAAATTTCCTTTAGTCTCTATTTAAATGTGAAATTTTCAACTACACAATTAAAATATATATATATATATATATATATATATATATATATATATATATATATGACAAAATCTTTTTATACTAATTTAAGTTTTAATTTTTTTTATTTATCTAAACTTTTTATTTAATTTAAATCTAATAAGTTATAATTTATTACTAAATTTTTAAACTTACACCAGTATATGAAAGATCCTTCTTTCATATATATATATATATATATAAAACATACACATATATAAGCACATAAATACATAAAATACATACATAACTAGAAATGTTACTTTTATGAAAGAAAAATAAATGTATAAAATCGCACCAAATTTAAAATAACTATAAAATAACCTAAAATGACAAAATACACAAGTGCGTCAGCAAAGGCTTTCTTGGATAGTTTTTATATTTGCCCACAAATACGGTTTAGCGTAGTTTATTTATTAAAAATATTTTGTTTAGTAAAATAAAAAGTAGAAGAATAAAAAAAAATACTTTTTAGTAAAATTATCAAAATTTGAATTTAGTGGATTTGAGATTTTCAGTTCATTACTTACGTAAAATTACTAATATCCTAAAAAATATTTCTTTTGGAACTTGAATATGAATGAGTTTAAACTTGAATGCATGAATTCAAAATCATAAAGATAAAGAGTAAAATGAAAAAAAAATTAGTGTTTATTAAAAAGCTTGAGATATTTTATAAATATTTTTTAAATTGATAGCTGTGATTTTTTAATCTTTTAAAAATTAAAATATATATATATATATGTATTTTAAATATCACCCATTCTCATTATCTATTATATATATTAATTTAAAATTAATAATAATAATAGTATTATTATTTTACGTGTTTTTTAATTTACAGACATAATAAAAATTACAAAAAAAATTATAATATCTATTTAAAACTTCCCCTAAAATGAAGGGACATTTACCCAACCTCATATATGTGTCTTATCACTGGTCATATCCACATGACCATTTGGCTTGTAATTAGTTTGTTAAGCCAATGATTTCTCTTTGGCCAACCTCCGCTGTCTTATACTTTCTATGACTCTTTTTATAAAATATTTTTAATGAAATCATATATATTAATAAAAGCAGTTAAAGTTAATCAACTTTTTCATTTTAAAAAACTATTGTAACATAATAATTTTATCCTCATTTAATATTATTGAACTTAGTTCCACCATTAATATTTATCCTTCTTAATTTGAATTTAAATTCTCACCAACTCCATTCATTAAAAAAAAAAAACTTTATAAAAAAAGCACTAAAAAAATGTACTTTATAAGAAAAATCAGAGTACAAAATAATATATACATGCACTGTTGTGATCGGGTTCAAATAGATTCATGTCATCTGTTTGGGCTAGCTAGCTAATTTTTTTAAAGTGTTAAATAGATTGGGTTTGATGATTTTTCTTATTCAAACTTAATTGATGACTCAACTTAAATTGATTTTTTCTTCTTCATCGGATGTAGTTTATGAGATGATTTGCCAATCAATTTGAAGTTTTGTACCCACTTACACCATCAACACTAAATTATAATTATTAAAAAATTTAAATATATTTCTCAAGGTTCTCATTTATTTTATGTATTGACTCAACCCAATATCAGAAGGTTGACGTAAAATTAAACTAATTTCTTCGAAATAAGATGTAAAATGACTAAAAAAGTTTATACTAATAATTTAATTTTTATTAAAAATATAGACAACTAAAAATTAACCCAATAACTAGTAAATAATAACTTTTGTTTTATAACACATACATTTTAATTTATAAAAAAGATTTATCTACTAACTAAAACTTAACGATCATGTCAGGAAACGAAAAACAGGCACAACACTGTGACAACCATATATATCTTTCATATTAAGACACCCACAATTATTGCTATTCCGATCCAAATCCATTGGAAAATGAATTCTTTTGAGCTATAAAGGGATGGATTTTACACTGATCCTAATTGAAAGCAACACATCCATCCAACTCCTTTAATTGGCCACATTCAATTAACCTCTCACTTTTCCAACGTTTCATTCTTCATTGATGCACCACCATAATGTCATTGTCGCATAATGAGAGTATGAGGTCCTCACAACGCATTCGGGCATCTAATTCTTTTGTATATGCTCACTTTCTATCCCTACTTTTTCATGTTCCTTTCCAGCAAGAACACACTTCATTATCACCCTATTCTCTTTTACCTGTATATATCTGTCTTCAATGACACAACACCTTAATCTCCTCGCCAGATACAAAGAGATACGTTCACAAATCACAATTTAAGGTTCTACAACAAAGCCTTTCACCTACCTATCATTCTCTCCAAGCCTCAATAAAAACCCTACACTCCTTCATATCATCAACACATCAAGTGCTCATCATTGCAAGTACACTTCCTTCTTTCCAATATCATTAGATCCTCATTCAATAAAACTAAAATGACGATGAAGAAGCAATCTCTCTTGTGCTTCTCACTTGCACTGATAGTTTCCTTCATGTGTTCCACCATCACAGTAGCACAATTAGCACCAGTTGGTGCACCAGTACAACCAGCAAAACCTACCCCAACCCCACCAGCAGCATCTCCAAAACCATTGGTACCTTCATTACCACAATCACCAAGTCCAAGTGATGCCACTCCTGACACTCCAGCAGTTGACATTGTTGGAATCTTGAGAAAAGCAAAGTCTTTCAACATCCTAATCCGCCTCATGAAAACCACCCAATTGATCAACCAACTCAATGCACAGCTTCTCACTACTAAATCAGGTGGCTTAACCATTCTTGCACCTGATGACAGTGCCTTCTCTGAACTCAAAGCAGGCTTCCTCAACACTCTCTCTGATGGACAAAAGCTTGAACTCTTGCAGTTCCACGTTCTTCCAGACTATGTCTCTAGCTCTAACTTTGATACTCTCACCAACCCTGTGAAAACACTTGCAGGGGCTAAACCTGGAAAGGTGGAACTGAATGTGGTGAGTTACGGAGGGAGTGTGAACATCTCAACTGGTGAGGTTAACACCACCATCAATGGCATTGTGTATACCGATAAGCATCTTGCTATTTATAAAGTGGGTAAGGTGCTTCTTCCTATGGACTTCTTTACTGTTGCTAAGGCACCTGCAAAGGCACCTTCTTTGGCTCCAGAACCTTCAAGTGATGCAGCAAAGGCACCTAAGCCTGATAAGGATGCTTCATCATCTTCAGATTCGTCACAAGTTAATCCCACTGCGGTGAACTCTGGCATGAAGATCGGTGTGTGTGGAAAGTGGGTGTCACTTGGACTTGCATTGGTGGCAACAATGATGCAAGGCTAATGGAGAAAGGTGTATTAGGAAGCTGTGAATTTGGTTCTTTAAAATACGCATGTTTTGTTGTGTTATCTATGGTTGTTTTGTTTCTGGACTTCGTATGTAGTAGTCTAGGATACTCCGAGAAGTATGTGAAAGGTTTGTGTGATTGTGCTGTTTTCTTCCCATAAAATATAAAGCTATAAATGATTTTTTTTACATTAATCTATAATTTTTTACATATCTGGGTGTTAGTTTATTAAAATTTTAATTCAAATTAAATAATGAATCTACTACATTTTAAATTATACATATTTGGAAAGTCTCATTTATTGTAAATGAAATCAAACATGATTTTCGTAAAAAAAAATATTATTTATTCTGATAATTTGTGGCAACAAATATAAAACATACTAAATTTGGAAAGTCACTGGAATAATATTTATGAATTGAATTCTGTGTATGAGAAATTGATACGTGTTATTTTTTTAAAATGAGGTTTTAAATTTTTTTTATTATGGCTAGATAATAGATATAAATTATAGATAGGAGATATATTATTAGTACACATTTTGGTTATGCGAACTTTTTATATTATAAACTTGATTATTTATTTTTTTATCATAATAGTAGATAAAATAATTTAATTAAAGTAAATTAATAATGTAAATATTTTTTACATTGTTATATAATTATGAATTCTCATATTAAAGAAGAATAATAAACTTTTGTAAAATAATATAAATATTATCTTTACGTTATATTCTAATTAGTTGGCGGTGTAAGTTTTTTTACCCCGACAGCGTACTAAAATTATACTCTATAATTTAACGAAGGATAATATCTCATTATATTATATAATCAATTACAACAAAAATTGCTAATATTTAATTGATTGATGCAAAGTTAATTTTATTTTATATTTAATTGATTGACTGTATTTTTCCTAGTATTTAACCAAGTATATAAAAGTTGAATTATATACTTAATTGATTTTATAATTTTTAAAATATATGCTCATTCAGAAATGAAAGCACAGAGAAATCTTATGTTACTTGTTTTAAAGAAGGAACTAGGTTTATAAAATAAGGCGAATAAAATTGTGAAAGAAAGGTCCCTAATTAACATAATAACTTGAATAAAGATGTTCTTAAAATACAGAAGTTTAACACAATGATTTTAATTTTGTTCTATTGATTGACCTCGAATGAACTTTGAACGACTGAAATACTGTTTTGTGGTAGTAAGCAACAACTTTCACGGTTGAGATGTAGTTTCGGTACGGTAGAAGGTGTGATCTTACAAGAACACTCCAACATTTATCATTTAAGTAAGTGAAAATTTTGATAGAGTAACAATACGTGTGAGATAAATATCCAGTCTTCGTTTCCCCTCGAATCAAGTTTCATATCAACTATTACGATTTTTGCTATTTATATTTTGCTATTCAGGTAAATGGCTAACGAATGACTGTGACTTGAATCTAAAGTATGCTTAGAAAAGAAATAATCAATCTCTTTGGAGAAAGTGGAACATTAATTTTTGTATTGCATTTCAACCTAGCTATTGGTTTCGTAAATTAAGCAAATCTTCTTTTTCCATTCCTAATTTTATCAATAAATTAGAGATTTTAATTAGCATAGCCTGCAAAATATTGAATCAAGTCAAACAACCATAGCATAACACTTATATTTAGAATAAAAAAATCCGTAGAGGAATACAACAATCTCAGGTCCCCTAATCCACACTGATAATTCACCACTAAAACATTCACTCCTTCCTGCAGATCACAATCATAATACTCTTAAAGCACGAGAGCTATTATCTAGGGCGCTGGTAAATTCAAATCATATACTTGTTCATGATGACAACACAGTCACCATAACTGCTGCAAGAACAAGGGACACCCACTTTCCACATGCATTGATTATCACAGTGCCCGAGTTTTCGTTTGTGGAATTAATCTGAGATGATTCTGAAGAATCTGGGGATAATGGCTTCCCCTTATCAGCTTTTGGCGCATTTGCAGATGGTTCTGGAGCCAAAGATGGTCCCTTTGCAGGTGCCTTGGCCACAGCAAAGAAGTCCATAGGAAGAAGCACCTTACCCACTTTATAAATAGCAAGATGCTTATCAGTATATATAATGCCATTGATGGTGGTGTTAACCTCACCAGTTGAGATGTTCACACTCCCTCCGTAACTAACCACATTCAGTTCCACCTTTCCAGGTTTAGCTCCTGCAAGTGTTTTCACAGGGTTGGTGAGAGTATCAAAGTTAGAGCTAGAGACATAGTCTGGAAGAACGTGGAACTGCAAGAGTTCAAGCTTTTGTCCATCAGAGAGAGTGTTGAGGAAGCCTGCTTTGAGTTCAGAGAAGGCACTGTCATCAGGTGCAAGAATGGTTAAGCCACCCGATTTAGTAGTGAGAAGCTGTGCATTGAGTTGGTTGATCAACTGGGTGGTTTTCATGAGACGGATTAGGATGTCGAATGACTTTGCTTTTCTCAAGATTCCAACAATGTCAACTGCTGGAGTGTCAGGAGTGGCATCACTTGGGCTTGGTGATTGTGGTAATGAGGGTACCAATGGTTTTGGAGATGCTGCTGGTGGGGTTGGAGGAGGTTTTGCTGGTTGTACTGGTGTACCAACTGGTGCTAATTGTGCCAGAGTCACGGTAGAACACACGAGGGAAATTAGCAATGCAAGAGAGAAGCACAAGAGAGATTGCCTTTTCATAATCATTTTAGTATTGGCGAATAAAAGTTAGGATGGTTTCGGAAAGGAATGTAAATGGTAGGATTTGTGTTGGGAATGAGCACTTGATGCATTGATGATATGGCTGAGATAGGTTTTATAGAGCAAATTTCAGGCAGGGAGACAATGATAGGTAGGTGAAAAACATAGTTAAAAACTGTGATTTGTGAACATTCATTGTTGCTAGCTGGCAAGGGAGATTGAGGTGTTGCATCAGGGATGTAAGATATATGGGAAATGGCATTGTGTTTTTGACTTACCTGTCATGGAGAGGTGGTGTATCAATCATGATTGGGAGTTGGGAGTGAGAACAGGCTGAACCAAAGCATTGCCTTACCTGGTGCGTTAAGATGTGAACTTATGCAACTATTTTGCTTTCACGTCATAATTGGTATGTTATCATCATACATCTAGCGAATAGCGATGCGTCTATCTTGCAATTTGATCATAAGTTTGACATATTTTTTTATTTTAATTTCTAAGTTTTGAGTGTTAAATTTATTTATTTTTATATATTTAGCAATATTTTTATTTTAATCTTTTCATATAATATATATATATATATGTATGTATATTGGATTATATACGTAATATCATTTTTTTTATTTTATTCTTTATATCAAAATACTCTAACATTAAATCGAGTATTTAGATTAAAAACTTTATCACATATAATAATCCTATTAACTCAAATATAATTACCTCCTATAAAATTACTTATGATTTAGACAAAAAACAAAATACTCTAACTCTATTGTAATTTTATTAAATGATCAAATTCAATCTTTAATTTAAAATTTTAAAAAAAATCAAAATATAAAATTTATTTATGCAAGTATAAAAATAGAAATGAAATCCAGTATAAAATCAAAATTATAATTTAACCTTATAAAAATCTAATATGTTTTGTCTTCTATAGATATATAAAGTGAAAATTACAAATTATCTAATTTTTAATTTAGATAAATTTTTAAACTTTTTCTTATTTTCTTCATAATTTATCTTAAAATTTAAAATGTATAAATTAAAAAACTTAAATTCTCAATTTAGTTCTTAAAAAGTTTGAGTCCATCCTTGAAAAATTTAAAATGTCACGTTAGACACTAATTTCCTCTTTTATCATTTATTTTTGTTCCTAAACTTATATTCCATTAAAAAATTGTAACAGAAAGTTAACTTATCATATTAAGTATCATGTCAGAAACTTATTTGACAAAAACGATGTCATTTTAAAAGTCTAGTTTGCAAAAAAATGATGTCATTTTGGAAGCCTAGTTGGTGTTAGAGTAGTGTTAGATTTATGTTTCTATAGTCTTTCACTATTAGAGTTTTTGGCTATCAAATGAGTTGAAAATGGCATTTCAAAGTATTATAGCATTAAATGAAAAAAGAAATTCTTTATTGTAAGATCTTAAACGATTAGAGGAAAAGACTAACATGCTTAGGGATAAATTGTCCATGACAGTTAAGAAAGGAAAGGGGTTGGTTCAAGATAGGGAGCAATCTAAAAAATCTTCTAAATAAAAAGAATTCAAAGATTAAACAATTGAAGGTTGATTTGCATAAGCAAAATTCTGCAATTTCAGAATATAAGAATGATATTAAAAGATTATTCAGTGACTTGAAAAAAGCATTCCTAAACTAGAGACTTATTTGCTGAAAATGAATATGTTATAGGTTGTTCGTTGTCCCCTAAAAGTGTAAAGTTAGGGTTTGTCATCCCCAAAATAAAAAATAACTCACAGGGTGATTAAAAAAAAAAAAGTTACCAAATTCTCTATCTCATTCTATTTCTTACACTATAATAAATTTTAATCTCTAAATATTTCGTTGCCAAACATGAATTTAAAGACGAGCTTGGGTGAGATTCTGCATATACACTTAGACTTCTAAAACTGATGTTGTCTCTGCCAACTAAGCTTATAAAAATAACATTATTTTTGTCAACTATGCTTTTGACATGACATTTAATGTAACAAGTCAGGTTTTTTGTTACTATTTCTTAATAAAGTCTGAGATTAAGGACTAAAATAAATAACGGAGAAAGAAGTTAGAGACTAACGTGTCAAATATTAAAATACTAACTTTAAACTTTTCGAAAACTAAAATGAAGATTTAGTCAAATTAAAATAATTTTTTTTTTAAATTCAAATTAAAAGATGATCATTATTATAAAGGAAATTATCATTTATTGATAAAATAAAATAAAATTATTGACTATTTTCCGTAAGGATATAATTATTCTTGGTACTTTTTAAATTGAAAGGTATTGCAATTGCGGCGGAAGAACGGGTCCGATGCATTTATAGGAGATGCCCTTATTAGGCTAACCCATTACAATGGGGTTGATGTAAGCGCTCTTATTATAAAGGCCAACCGTTTTTTTATCACTAATTATATATTTTTAAGATTTTTTTAAAGTTTTTATTAAAAAATATATTTAAAATTTACTGAGTTAACTCATGAGCTAATCCATGGAATTAGTGAGTTGCGTTGAATTATAATTTTATAAATTCATCATAAAAGTGAGTTGAGTTAGATTAGCTTATTATTAAACCTAATTACCTAACTGGACAGCTTTATAGGTAGATTGGTTGACATATTTTTTATGTAGCCAAATTAATAGTTACTTTCTTGATAAAGATTTGTTTAATTAAGTAAAAATTTTATACCATATCACCGAACATGTAGATGAACCGATAGAAATTTATTTCAGTTTAATACAAATATGTTTAAAAGACTTGGAATAAAAATTATTTGGTTTTGCTTTAGTGGAGGTTAATTTCTTTCTTTTGTCCAATTGGTTTTGCCTTAAGCATTTAGAGAAGGACGTATTATTAGTGTAAATTCAGTTCTCTAACAAGCGTTGTATCTATAAACGTAACATCGTTAAGTGCTATCTCTAAGTTTGCGTTTTTGTACTTTCTGAACCACAACTCTCTCCAAACTTTGTCGATGTCAACTTGTAATATGACGAAGCTATGCTACTGCGATGCAACTGAAGTACAGATAGACGACACTTGTTGCAGATCAACAATTGAAGTCTCATTAAAATAAAATATGAATTCAATTATCTAGCTACTTCAAGTAAATGGCTAACGAGTGATCGCGGTTTAAATCTGAAGTTTACACAGCAGAGAAATAATCAATGTCTTTGTGAAAAGTGGGGCACTTTTGTATTGCAATGCAACCTATTATAGTATCTGAACTGAAAAAAAATTGAAGCAACCATAGCATATCTTAGAATAAATTCACAGAGGGAACAAAAGTCTCCGATACTCTAATCCACTCTTGATAAACTCACAACACTAGTACTCACTCCTTTCTCGCAATAAGAGCACTCTTAAATATTAACTGCATGATAAAAAATAGCATGCCTTTTGGTAAATTCATCAAATCATATTCTGGTTTATGATGACAATACAGTCACCAGAACAGCTCCAAGAACAAGGGACACCCACTTTCCATGAACAGTGATTTTCATAGTGCCAGAGTTCTCGTTTGTGGAATTAATCTGAGATGACTCTGAAGAATCTGGGGATAATGGCTTCCCCTTATCAGCTTTTGGCGCATTTGCAGATGGTTCTGGAGCCAAAGAAGGTGCCTTTGCAGGTGCCTTAGCAACAGCAAAGAAGTCCATAGGAAGAAGCACCTTACCCACTTTATAGATAGCAAGATGCTTATCAGTATATATAATGCCATTGATGGTGGTGTTAACCTCACCAGTTGAGATGTTCACACTCCCTCCGTAGCTCACCACATTCAGTTCCACCTTTCCAGGTTTAGCACCTGCAAGTGTTTTCACAGGGTTGGTGAGAGTATCAAAGTTAGAGCTGGAGACATAGTCTGGAAGAACGTGGAACTGCAAGAGTTCAAGCTTTTGTCCATCAGAGAGAGTGTTGAGGAAGCCTGCTTTGAGTTCAGAGAAGGCACTGTCATCAGGTGCAAGAATGGTTAAGCCACCTGATTTAGTAGTGAGAAGCTGTGCATTGAGTTGGTTGATCAATTGGGTGGTTTTCATGAGGCGGATTAGGATGTTGAATGACTTTGCTTTTCTCAAGATTCCAACAATGTCAACTGCTGGAGTGTCGGAAGTGGCATCACTTGGACTTGGTGATTGTGGTAATGAGGGTACCAATGGTTTTGGAGATGCTGCTGGTGGGGTTGGAGTAGGTTTTGCTGGTTGTACAGGTGCACCAACTGGTGCTAATTGTGCTACTGTTGTGGTGGAACACATGAAGGGAACTATCAGTGCAAGTAAGAAGCACAAGAGAGATTGCTTCATCAACATGGTTTTAGTTTTGGTGAATGATGGTTTTGGAAAGGAATGCAAATGATGGTGTAGGATTTTGTATGTTGTTGAGTGCTTGATGCATTGATGATATGGAGGATATGGCTTTTATATAGAGGCTGGGAGATTGTGACAATTAGGTGAAAGGCTAATTTAAAACCATATAATCGTGATCTGTGAACGTGTGGCAAAGAGATTAAGATGTTGCATCGAATAAGTGATTTGGATGATGGAGAAGTAAGTTCTTGCTTCAATAGCCACTTCCACCATACTCAATTATTTATGTTAATTTCATTTTTTACAAGGGTCTGTCTCGCGATCAGATAAAACATGCAAGAGCTTTTTCTTTGGATTCCTATAGATGGAAATAAATTGTTGCTCTGGTTATCGTATGAGTTAATATATTAAACCTTACATAAAAAAGATCTAGCATTCGACATACACAAGTAAATTCATATTTACAAAAAATAATGCAGCACATCAAGTCTAGGACTAACTTGTGAGAGGCTAATTATTCTCTCTGAATCTTCAACCCTGGTTGCAAAGGAATATAATTGGAGCTTATATTTTTTAAGTTGCTTCTTCTCTCCTTTGGAAACAGGGAATAAGTTTTTCTTTGAACAAGTCATAAAGATGAGGAACATTTAGAATATGGTGTCGGAGATTCAGAACAACATCGATATCTTTGGTCAGGTTAAATCTCTCAATATGTTGCCTGTCACTCAACATGTGAGATGGATAACTCCTTTGAAATTTTGGATCAAATTTAATATAATTGATGCTCTGAGTAGATCATCCAAAGCTTCATGTGGAGGGATAGTAAGAGATCATTGGGGTGCTTGTATTTTTCTTGTAACTTGTACATGTATTTAAGCAAGACTTTGGGGAGTTCTTAATGGGCTCCAGATTGTTCAAAGTCATGTGAAAGAAATAATTGAAGTTAAGGATGATATATATGAAAGAAATAAAAAAATAAAATGAAAGTTTATTAAAAATTATGAAAATTATAAATAATATAAAAAAGAACCTCAATTTTAATTTCCATATGTTTAATTTCTTTCATCTATCATCCTTAATTTTTATATTTTTAAAAAATACATTAAGTCCTAATAGATAAGAATAATGCATATTTTACTATATATAATAATTTTAAAAATTATATTAATAAAATAAAATTGTGCAGTAATATATATATATATATATATATATATATATATATATAAAATTAAATGCGAGTATAAGATATATATATATATAAAATTAAATGCGAGTATAAGAAAACTATTTTAATCATTCAATCTTACATAAATCGTATAATTAGCGAGGAGGGGGAGAAATAGCAAAATAAGGAAATTGCATGCCGGTTAAATTGGGGCAACGTTTTCATCACTGTAGCGTCTAAACCTAACAACAATTTTAATAAACCCTAACTAAACCCTTCCCACAAAACTGCTCAATGGGAAAGAAGCCGAAAATAGTTCTTCCGCCGGAACTACCGCCGGAGATCCCAGACGACGAAGTTGAGGTTTCCGACGATGACTTCCAATTCGTCAAGGAAAACCGCGGCTATGCCTCCTTGCTTTCCAGCTTGGACACCTATTCAATCACCAAGTTCGATTCTTTCTTCCAACCCCATTCCTAATTTTATTTTATTTTTCTTTTCAATGGTTTTTATATTAATTTATACTCCCCTTAATTGCAATGCTACATTTGGTGTAAATTTTTAGCTCGAGTACCCTTGTTTCTGAATGTTTTAGGAAATTTTTGTCTCAACTTATAAATACGGAAAATAAAAAAATGGATTTTTTTTTCTCTTTGAAAGCTTTCCTAGGCAGTGAAATTATATTAGTATTGTGAAACTTGGCTTATCCATGTTGATTGTCAGCTTTGACTGTTTATGTGCATGATTAGGTGAAATACTTGGAATATTTATTTCACCATTTATGAAAGTGGAAAATTTTTACAGACTTATCACTCTGAAATTTCCATAGCGATGAACTTACGTTGTCGATTTTTTTTTTTTAATTTTATTTTGCATTATAACATTTTTAACGGTTGTTGTATAAAAAACTTTTTGAGCCTTATATTTGAATGTTGAGGGCAGATGTGTAGTATGGTTTCTGTCACTTGAACAGCATGAAATTCTCTTTGGAATTTTAACTCTTTAGCTATGTAATCGTACAGTGTTATTATGAGTTTTATGTGATGAGCTTACTTAGGAAATAACTTTCCTGTGCATCCTTAGGCACGTTACACGGGTTGCTGATGCCAAAGACGATGCATTGGAAAAACTTTATGAGAAACGCATGCGAAAGAATGCTCTCAACAAAGAAAAAGAAGAAACTGGTTTGCAGGTTGATCGTGTAGATGCTCTTCCAATCAAGACATTGGATGGAACACTCTATTACCGGACAGGTATCTAGCGTTCAATATATAATTTGTGCATTGTTGTCACTTGTCACCTGATTACTCTTTTATTAAGTGCTTTGGTAACTGATGCTTTTCTCATATTGTGCAGGTACAAAGACAGAATCTGAGAATGATCCAAGTGAAGAGGGAGCCGAAGAGGATGTCAATGCAGACAAAGGTGTAGTGAAGCTTACTAAGGCTGAACGGAGAGCCAAACTTAAGAAAATGAAAAAAGAGGGGAAAAAACAAGGGAAAGAGGTGGCTAAAGCAGAAGTGGAAGAAACACCGCAAGCAGCAGTACTGGTATTAAACAATCAGATTAACACTTGATATTATTTAACTCTTTTTTATGGTTTGGATGCTCTGAATGCTTTCATAAAAAGATCAAATGAAATGATCGAAAAGTAAAACCAAGTTTAATTGATTGCGTGCAAATTGCAATTACAGAATTGCTTTATGAATGTTTTGATGAATCGTGTATCACACACATCTCTAGTAATTGTAAATTTGATAATTTAATTTGCTGATATTTTTTTTATGTGAGCCTTTGGTACTAAGGTCGTCTTTTCCTTTTCCTAATTGTCATGGCATGTCACATCAACAATTCTGTCCATTAAAAATAGAAAAACAACACACTCTATTATTAGGTGATTTTCATGTGAGTCTCAATAAATTAAGAGAGGGCTTAGATTATTTAACAAGACTCGCATAAATTCACCTAATAATAGAGAGTGTGCTGGAAAGATTGTGTTGCAAGCATTCCTCAAAAGTAAAATAATTGTTTTTTCATTTTAATAGTTTATTTCATATATTCTCTTGAACTGCTGCCCTTTTGACTGGACTAGAAACTATTGAACTCAACGTTGTGTGTAATTTTTTATATGTTCTCTTTTCTTTGTTAAGGCTGAGGTAAAAGAAGATCTTACTGCTGAGGAGGCATTTGAAAGTAAGAAGTGTAAACTTGCAGAATTGGGGAATGCCTTGCTTACAGACCCAGAGTCCAATATTAAATTTCTGAAGGAGATGGTGCAGATATCTAAAGATAATGATCATACCATTGTTAAACTTGGACTTCTATCCCTCTTGGCTGTTTTCAAAGATATTGTCCCTGGGTATTGCCTGATAGTTATTTATTATAATGCACATTTTATATGTAGTGATATTACGGTAATCTGGTTATTTTTCTTTGACAATTGTCATTTGTTCTATTTTTAATGTTTTATATTTCATGTTAATGCATTTAATGTGCAGCTATCGGATCAGGCTTCCTACTGAAAAGGAACTAGAAATGAAGGTTTCAAAGACTGTTAGAAAGATGCGTTATTATGAATCAACTCTGCTTTCAGCATATAAGGTTCATATTCATACTTGAGTGTTATGTAATTTATACTATTAGTACTTGATTTAGCTGAAAAAATGTTATGCTGTCAGATATGACTTCAGTTCCTGTGCAAGAAATGGTGCTTGTTACCTTTTTCTTGAATCTACTTCGTCCATTGGTCAAATTTTTATGATATATTGTTTGAAATTATTATGAAATATGAATTTTATTTACATATGTGCCACCAAGAAGTTTTTCTCTCTTTATCTGTCATTTTGTCAGGCATACTTGCAAAGGCTGATAGCCTTAGAAAAGAAGCCTTTATTTCAGCTTGTAGCAGTTCGTTGTATTTGTTCTTTGCTTGATGCGAATCCTCATTTCAACTTTTGGGAAAGCTTGTTGGATGCTACTGTCAGAAACATAAGCTCTACTAATGAAGCCATTAGGTGCTGACCATTCTTCATTAAAATAAGCTTTCTCCAATATTTTTTGGAATTTCCTAGGAAAGAGCATGAAATGTGTTTTATAAGTGTTCAAATTTTAGGGTGAAGAATATGTCAACAGAAAAGAAATCTAGAGTAATTGGGTTCTTGATGGATTAAAATGTTTAACTGCCTTATTTAGTTCTATTCAACATAAAAATTGTCTTTAAATTACTGGCAATTTGGGTTTATAAATGTACAGATAAAGCATTTTCTTTCTTTCTTAATGGAAGCACCTTTGAGTTATTGATGGGGACGGAATATATGCATATTGATTTCTTGTGATTAAGGTGGTGTTGGAGAGTGTAAAGAATATTTTGCCAACTTTTGGAAAGCATACCTTACAAAAAATAATGTTTTTGGAGGAACTGAATATTTTGTAGAAGTTGTATTGAAGGCTTAGAATTTTCAAACGGTACTGTGCATGTTTCCAATTAAACAACTATTGTTGTTACCGTATAAAATTACTACATACATGCTTCAGGTGTGTAGTCACACCTGTACAACAGGAACTTGTTGCCAAGTTTTGTAACTTAATTATCTTGTATCATTCAATGATTGTAAGTCATGTATCTAATCACTGTAATGATGGATCTTCTATTAGCTATATTTTTTGTAACATCATTCACTTTTCTCTGGAGGCTGTGTTCTCTAACGCAGCCACTGTTCTAATTTCAATTTCTCAAATAGTGGAAAGATAAAGTTTCCTTTGCTTAGCTTCTATTTAACATTGACCCCTGAATCTTTTGCTTAAACACTTAAACTATACCCTGTGGTCTGTTGGTTACCAGTTATTTTCTTGCTAAGATAATGCATTTGAATAATAATTTTTCTGTTTCATGACACTTACTCTCACTATTC